CCGTTTGCTTTGATCTGGACTGTCCATCGCATTGATCTGGACCGTCCATCGCATTGATCTGGACCATCCGATCGCGATTAAATAGGAAGTGAATCTGTACCATTCATCGCGATTTAATTTGGACCGTCCATCGCGATCTAATATGAACTGTTCGATCGCGTTTAAATCTGACCATCCGATCGCGTTTGGGAAGGGAACGCATCTGGGTTGTTCGTGCACGCGAGAACGGATCTGAACTGTTCAATTTTCGATTTTTCTTTTAAAAATATTATTAGAACCCAAATTTTCACTAATTTCCTCAAAATTATTTTCAATTTCATTCTCCTTCAACTTTTACTCTAAATTAAAATTTATAAAATCAAAAAATTATATTTATTAATTTTAAATTACAGTACAATTTCATTTTGGGGTGTTACAATACCTATAATTTATAGAGAGTAGTATAAATTTGAGTTACATTTTTGTAATTTGCCTTAATTTTGTCTTAATTGCTAGTTAAATTTTTAGTACCAACCCCAAATTTTGTCTTAATTGAAAAATTAAATGGAATTTTAATAAATATTGCCAATTTATGGACTTCCAATCTATGATTGGCCTACCAAGTAAATTACCCTTTTTTGGGTGCAAATTACTTGAGTAATTACTTTAATTCAATTAACTAATGTCTTTATTTTTAGGGTCCCACCCTTTTCTTTTTTTCTCACATAAAATTATAGTAAAAAGAAAAAATAGGAAAATACCAGTCAAATCAGATAAGCACAGAGTCAAACTAAAAGGGACAAAAAAGTAAAAGCCACAGTACCCTGTCAGTGTCATTTCAGTAAATAAGCGCAAAATTCACGGGCATTTATTTATCAGATAGTTCTAAGGACAACTAAGATTATATAAGGGCCCCACTCTCCATTTTACTCGCTTGTCTGTCCCTGTCTCTTTCTCTGCACCTCTGCTTAGCTCTTCTTCTTCTTCTTCTTTCTTCTCTCTCCAGTTACCAAAATCGGAGGTGTAGATCTGAAAAAACCCAGAAACCCATAAAAATCTTAGCCCCAAGAAGATCTGGGTAAGTGTTTCTTTCTGTTTCCTTTGTTTCATTTTCTCGCCCATTTTCTTCATTAGTTTAGTTTTTTTCTTCTTTTTGGTTGTTTGATTCCGATGGCAATGCTGTTTGATTTCAGTTTCTAGGTCACCATCGTCTCCGTCTAGGATGGGGAGAGATCTGGGTGCACTTTGTTAAGTTGTTGGCACAGTTGATGTAGTGAATACACGATTTATATGGAAATAATTTTTGGTGTATTTCTCGTGGATTTTGGTGGCTAACAGAAGCTTAATTTTGAACATAGGAAGTAGAGATCCTGTGCATTCTTGCTTCTGGGTTAATTCGTTTGGATTTATATGATCGGCTGTTAGAGTCAGTTGTTTGACTGAATTAGAATAAAGCAGGGGGTTTGTTTGGTTACTGAGAAAATGCGGGAGAAACTAGAGGTATTGTTTTGTCTCGTGGTTTGAGGAGAGTGATGAAGAGTACAGTTCTTGATTCTATTTTGATGACAGTTATTTAATTGAGCTAAAGAGTTTTTTATGGAAAGAATCTGAGAAAGAAAATAGTTAAGAGATAGTTGCGAGTTTGAGTAGAACTTGAGCAAATTATACTGTTTGTTTGCCAAGAAATGTGGAAGAAATAGAACAGACCATGACTGTGAGAATCTGTGTTCGTTCTGGAAGATAGACAATAGAAAAAATGAGTAGTTTTATTAGCTAAGTTCGGTTAACTACCAACTAAAAATCATGTGCTCTTTTTTTGTTTAACTTTTTCCATCACTTTCTTAGTAACCAAGCTCATGTAAGTTTGGGTCCCTTGGGGATTAGTACTTCGGTTAAGTAGTCCCAACTGTGTTTATTAGTTTTCTTACTTAGTTTTTACTTATTTAATCTAAGATACACTTATCTAATTCTTGCTACGCCTTCTTTTTCTTCCAGTTCTTGGTGATAGGCTATCTTTTGATGTCTTCAGGAGTTTATGTTTTACTTGTTTGGTAAAGTGCTGCTTGTAGCTGTTCAATAAGGTATGTTGATTCAACACTTTTGTTCATGGCTTGTGTTTGGTTTCAAAATGTGCATCCTAGCCTTTCATGGAAAACATAGAATGTCATCTTAAATGCTCTCCTTGTTGCAGACTACCTGTTGGTGTTAACTGAATGGCAGTGACAGATTCTCAAAATCCTCTTCTTGGGGAAACCACTTGTGGTACGTTATTGCAGAAATTGCAGGTAATTATGTTTTTGTAACTGATCTTTAAAACTTTGATCGGAATTGTGTGGGCATATCTTGATAAGCTAATCCAAGATTTTCCATAGGAAATTTGGGATGAAGTTGGTGAAAGTGATGAGGAGCGGGACAAGCTGCTTCTACAGATAGAGCAGGAGTGTCTGGATGTATACAAGAGGAAGGTTGAGCAGGCTGCAAAGTCAAGGGCACAACTACTCCAAGCCTTGTCAGATGCCAAACTTGAGCTTTCAACTCTTGCATCGGCTCTTGGAGAAAAAAGTTTTGTTGGAATTGTAAGAAATCTTATCTCAATCATACATGGGCTGGGATGAATTGAGAAGTGGGCATCAATACCATTGTAATGCATTCTGCAGCAGTTGCGAGCTTCTAGCAAGATTAATTGATGCAGGTTCATAATCATTGGTTTTGTTTCAAATTGCAGCCAGAGAAGACCTCGGGAACAATCAAGGAACAATTAGCAGCTATAGCACCAGCTCTTGAGCAGCTATGGAAACTGAAGGAAGAAAGAGTTAAGGAGTTTTCTGATGTGCAATCACAGATTCAAAAAATATGTGGGGAGATCACTGGGAACTTGAACCTCAGCGAGGCTCCTTCGGTTGATGAGTCTGACCTATCTCTGAAGAAATTAGATGAATACCAAGCACAACTCCAAGAACTTCAGAAAGAGAAGGTAAAGCCATCTAAATTGGATAGTATTTTGGTAACTTGGACATTTTTTGTTGCATCTATTCTTATATGCTTTAATGCCACTAACTTCTTTGAACTGGCAGAGTGATAGGCTGCACAAGGTCCTTGAATTTGTGAGTACGGTGCATGATCTCTGTGCTGTCCTTGGATTGGACTTTTTCAGCACTGTAACTGAAGTTCATCCCAGCTTAAATGAGTCTATTGGTGTCCAATCAAAAAGCATCAGCAATGATACACTTTCCAGTCTGGCCAAGACTGTCTTAACTCTAAAAGAGGATAAAAAACTTCGACTTCATAAGGTAGCTCTGTGTTGATAGTTCTTAGTTATTGTCCTCTGTTTCCATTATGTGGTGCTTATCAATTGTCCCAACAACTTTTACACTGGTTTGGTAAACTGAAATTCAAACATCACAGCAAACCATGGATTGTGTCTAATCTATACGCATATATAAATATATTGCTTCAAACAGTGTACATGTGATATTGTGCTTTTTGAGTTTTGGTGATATTTGGGGAATTCTGCAGACGCACCAGAAATCAATAACTATGAAAGGATAGATTGAGTATGATCATCTTCCTTTCTTCTTTCTTTGAGAGAAGAACAACTTCGATTTCATCAAGGGGAGACAACATTGCCTTCTTACTTATATGGTGGTTTTGTTGCTGTGTCACAATTCCTGTACTTCACGGAGGACTATATTTATTTCTATTAATCTCTAGCTGCTATTTCTTTTGTGTTTGAGTTAAAAATTATTGTCCATTTAATGGAATATGGGATTTTGAATGTAAGCTTTAAAGTTATTTCTATTTATTTCTTAACTTCAATATTTTTTGTAAATATCTATGCATGTTTCTTATTGTAACAAATTACAACAGTACTCTCAATGTTCTCATGTCAATTTCTTCACAGCTTCAAGAGTTATCAACACAACTAATTGATTTGTGGAATCTGATGGATACTCCTGAAGAAGAAAGGAGATTATTTGACCATGTTACCTGCAATATTTCAGCTTCAGTTGATGAAGTGACAGTTCCTGGTGCACTTGCTCTTGATTTGATTGAGCAGGTATATGAATTTCTTCTCGTCATACGGTAAGTCTTTACCATACACAACCACTATTTACCCACTGTAATGTGATTACTCATTTAGGCTGAAGTAGAAGTTGAGAGGCTTGATCAGCTCAAAGCCAGCAGAATGAAGGAAATCGCTTTCAAAAAGCAAGCTGAACTTGAAGAGATACATGCTCGTGCACATATAGAAATAGATCCAGAGGCTGCTCGGGAAAAGATTATGGAACTGATTGATTCTGGGAATATTGAACCTTCTGAGTTACTGGCTGACATGGACAACCAGATAGCTAAAGCTAAGGATGAAGCTCTCAGCAGAAAAGAAATTTTGGACAGGGTTGAGAAATGGATGTCAGCCTGTGAGGAAGAGAGTTGGCTTGAAGACTATAATCGGGTATGTTATCTCCCTCAATGTTCTTTTTGCTCATTTCTCCTTCCATCTTGTGTTTCTGAAATTTGATGTAAGTTCCTTTTGAGTGTGATTAATAATGGCTGCTCATAGTGGTTGCAACTTCTACCTCCCTTGCTATACAGTGTTAAGAACTTTGGCTAGTAATGCGGTGAGTTAACATCTTCCAGGCAAAAGCGGTCCTATTCTTGTATTTTTGAGAATTTTGACCCCAAGTCCAAATTTTAGGAACATCAAATGAAGTTCATTTGTTTCAAGCATACAACAATTTACAGACTTTATCATTTCGGGTCATCACTTTTTGTACTGATCCTCATGTTCCTGCCACAGCTAAACGTTTGACTGAAAACAAATTATTCCTTGTTTATAAACTATTATGTCAACACATGTTGTCAACTTGTAACGAATTGCATTATTTGAAAGACATAATTGTTTGTTCTTTTATCTAAGATGCTTTTATATATCATTCCAGACTTTCTCAGTTTCAGCCTGATTGAGATTGTCTTGTTGAAACAGGATGAGAACAGGTATAATGCCAGCAGAGGTGCACATTTAAATCTCAAGCGTGCAGAGAAAGCTCGAATTCTGGTGAACAAAATTCCAGGTATATTTACAATCAAGGAACTACCAAAATTGTTTTGGGCATAATCTATTACAGTTTGTGCAATGATGAGATATCGTAAGTTAGGAGATTATTATGACAGGAGAGGTGGGTCGGTTCTCTTGGATCAATAAGAATTTAATACCACCAAAACTTATTTATCAAAGCTATAGAAGGTAAATAAGTTTGTTTATTAAATTAGGTTGAATTTTTTAGCTTGTTGCAGCTACCCCAACCAAGGAAACCTAATTTCACAGAATGTTTCTTTTGTATAGATACGCCATGACTCATAAAGATGAAACCCAACTTCATCATCACATTCCTACGAACACATTAATAAGTTAAATCTTAGTTCCACTGAATCGAGTATTATAGGCTGGCTAATATCGTCCCATAATACATGTATAAGTTTTGAGTTATACGTTTTTAGTGAGGTTTAAATTTGTAACCTTCAAATAAAGCGCATGAATTTTAATCATCACATCACCATGTTGGTGGTTTGTTTGTTAAATAATTGGTATCTTAAAAGGAATTCAGTCTCAGTAAAATGCCTGGCCATCAAGTTCTGTGTGGTCATTTTTCCCGATAAGAAAAACCAAATGCAGTCCAATTACTGTTATCTGAAACATCTTAGACAATACGCAGTTGCCATTAGTAGACGTGAACTTGCATAGGTTCTTAGTAGAAGAAAAAAGTTTGTTCATGCCAACATGTTATGCTTTGCATGACATTTATGTTATTAATGGTTTATAAAGCCTTCATGTTAATTAGTTTTTATTGTTGTTTAGCTATGGTTGACACCTTGGTAGCCAAAACTCGGGCTTGGGAGAAGAGCGTGGTGTATCTTTTGCTATGAATGGGGGTGGTTCTTCTTGCTATGCTAGAA